AGTCTCCTCTGGCTTGCAAGAGAGATGCTGAATAACATCTATTCTAGATGGTCTTCTAAAGGGTGGTTTTAAAAGCAAGGAATTGTTTGTGTATCAGAAAAGCTTTCTATTAAAGGAAAACATATTTTTTTTCTTTTTTAGTTCAGTACTTAAACTAGTTACCTTGTGTGGGAAACCTATTTGGATAGTGTCACTATACGAGGTTGACATGTTAATGATTACTTGTGCTACTTCTGGGTTAGTGAAAATGCAAAAAGAATGAAATCCAACTGTCTTCAGCCATTATTTAATTCCATAGTGGCTATTGCTGGTAGAACTCTTCTGGTAGAAGTATTCTTGGATCCTCCTTTAGTAGGTAGAGTTCTAGAAGGTCAAAAAGTTCACCAAGTCATTCAAGTACAGCACTGCAGGAGAGGCTGCCTATGCCTCCTCCGCCTGGATCTGGGGCATAAATTGCAAGTATTTCACCTTTCCATGGCTTGGTGGTATTTAGTCCCCAGGAGGTCTGCCCCCCATGGTCTGATGGCTTCATTGATAGTTTACCAAGTTTACCTTTGTCTTCCCTCCCACATACCCACAGGAACACAGTGGCCAATGCTTAGTCTTGCCAAGTGTAAGCCTGGGCTGCCTTCTTTTTATGTCTCCCATCCCCAATCTACTTTCCCCTACAGTTATATTTGGCCCTTTCTCCAGATCTAAGAAACACTTGTCCACACCTGCCAGCCCACAGTATTCAGACACTCAAACGCATTCAGAACAGCGCAGCCCAGCCCAGGACTTCATCTGGTGGGCATTGAGGCAGGGAAGTCCCACCCCAACACCCCAGGGAGAATCAGACTCAGACTCACTAAATCAGAGGTAGACTTAGAACAGGCACCATGTGTCAGCATCTTCAAGGACTTAATCAGTGTCTAACTCAGTGTACTAACTAAGTTATCTCAAATAACTGAACAAAATCAGCACAATCATAAAACTGATAGTTCAGTATTGGAGAGTTCTTAATGATACCTTGAAGTTCTGCAGAAGTATATAATTGTATTGTAAAATTATGGCAGTATTTAATAACATTTATAAGGATTTTTTAAAATTAACTGTAATCTCATGATCCAGCAACACCATTGACCTTTTTTGTAAAGTGTGGAGGTACACAAACTTTAAAAACTTGAATAGTGCAAAATGACATAAAAATTAAGAGGAATTTTTCTCATGCATCTCTGCTATTCGACTTTCTGTTCCTGAAGATAACCACAATCACAATTTCTCATGAGTCCTTCAGGAAAATTTCTTAAGTGTAGATGCAGAAGTTTTTAAATGAGCACAATTGGGTTTACACTGTATGCTGTATTATATACTTATTAAAAATTTAATGTATTTTGGAAACACCATACAATAAACCTTAAATTTATAGGCTCTGAACTTATTCTAATTTTCTTCAAATCCCTACACCTTATTTCCTAGCCAAGTGACCTTGAAAACGTTACTTAATCATTCTACATCTCTATTTCCTCACCCATAAAAAGGGAATATTAATGATACCTACCTCACAGAACTGCTGAAAGTGATAAATAGGTATCACAAAGAAAATGTTGGCCACAGTTTTAGGATCTCAAAAATTAATTAGGACTGTCATTGGGATGTAATTATATATTTTTTAATGGTTATATGCTCTCCAATTTTATAAATGTACTTTAAAAAATTTACCCTGAATTTATTGGTAAATACCTAAATAATTTCTCATTTTTATTTTTTTGTTTTATTTGTGTTTTTTAGGAATTACAGACAATGATACAATATACATTTGCATGTAATTTACCAGTATTGAAAAAGTGCTTACAAGAAGTATTTGGGAAGAATTCCAAAAGATTAAATTCCTAGAATTGAGTAGTACATTTTAAATGATGATAGCCTATGCCACATAGCTATGGCAGCTGACCCTCCTGGGTGTGGCCTCGGTTTACACATCCCCAGAACATAAAATTGACTCTGTCCTCATGCTAACCAACAATCATATTAACGAGCTTTAAAAATATCTGTCACTCTCAAAGGTAAAAAAGTTGAGATTTTTTAAACATCATTTATGCTAGTCTATTATGATGTACAGATATTTTTAGTATTTTAATAAAATCACTTCTTTCCTATTTCCTTTAATGATTTCCTCAGAAAGAACTTCCCAATTCCTAAGTCAGTTTTCTCATGCTTTCTTCTGGATTAATTTTAAGTTGCACTTTTCTAGAAAATGTCACTTTTTATTCAAGTTTTAAAATTCATTTGAACAGAGTTTTAAAAATTACTCTAGGAATTCTAACTTTACCCTTTATCTGGGACCGTCCACCCCATATGTTAATATCTAAGTCTGTGCACGTGCTGCTTGTGGAATGTCCATTGCCTTTGGTTTAATTGGCCACCTGTGATGTGCTGCAGTCCCCTCCCTGTCCCTAGAACCAAGTCAGGGAAGAGCTCCCTCCACATGCATCTTTCTACAAGGGGCAGGTGGAGAGAGCTCAGGCCGTGTGGAGAGAGACGTCTCCCACTCCTAATTCTCAGCCCAGGTTTTTGCTCCCACTGGAGGGAACAGCGTGTTTTTAAAACAATAATGAAAAGCACAATCCTTGGAGAATCGGCCGTGTCTCCAAGTTGGAAAGTATGATTGTGTTTTGTTCTTCTTTATTTTTTGCAGTCAGGCATGATACGAACAGAAGAAGCAGATTACTTCTTAAAGCCACTCCCTTCCCACCTCGCAGGGACAGTCAACAGCTCTGCTTCCCATGTGCTGTACAAGAGATCTGTGGGACCCCTGCCTGCCAGGGCCAACGAGGTCATGGTGACCGCCAGGAAGCGGGAGCTGCCCGGCCAACCCCTGCACGGTGGCAGCTTCCACCTTGGCCTCCCACAAAAGCAGCATTTCTGTGGAAGACGCAAGAAATGTATGTAAGGGCGATTCTTGTTATGTAGTTAATGATTTGGGCATTTATGTAAGCCGATAGAAGATTTTTTATTTTCTTTGAAGTATGTCTGCCCAGGAGGTGAAATTTATTAACTGTTATTGCTAAACTCAGGTGATGCTTCCAGAGAGGCTGTTGTTATCTGTAAGTTCAGTATAAATCATCTCTCCGTGGGAGATGGATAGGTAATGGCAGCTGACTTTTTTTTTTTTTAAAAGAATTATTCCCTAGAAAGATTCAATGACACACTAATCAGACGTACAGAATCCACCAGACATCTTCAAAAGAACCCTGGCATCTTGACTCAGTAATCCTAGATTTTTGAAGTTTAGATTTATTAAAGCCCACATAACTTTCCTGCTGAGGTCATCTATTTATATACATATTTATATACTTTATTCCACCACATCAATAGGGCAGATTGTGCATGACATAATTTACCTACAATTTTCACCAAGGCTTTATGGAAGTCTTTTTTGTCATGACCATTTAGGAGGTGATTTGTTATTCACATTTTTTGTAGAAACCTCTCACAAATCCAGGAATGCATATGCAGTGTTTTCTAGAATGTTCCTCACTCCCTTGCTCTCTCCCCTCAAGCATCACCTGATTGAACCTTCCCCCGATGAGCCTCTGCAAAGCCCTTTCCTCCCCAGCCCCATCGTTCTCTGCTTGGTCGGTTTTGCTGACCGCTATACCCAGCACTCTAAAATAGAGGTGGGCGTGTTGCAGGTGAATCTTGTTTAATAAGGTGAACAAACAAAAATCACGAGGCACCTGCAACAGAAGAATAAACACCACTTAAACTATCAGTGCCTGTGTGGCATCTGAACCCGTGTCATCCTATACATGGAAGTCATGTGCTATATTCAAGCAGACATGAAAACCTCAAACCCAGGTGAACTTAAGTCAGTGGGCTCCAGGCAGCAGCAGGAAGAAGAAAGCTGAGAAGAAACAGAGGAGAGGAGGATCTGAGGTCAGGGAAGCCCGAGGCTGGTGAGTGTTAGAACAGGGCGTGCGTAGCAGCAGTAGCTGCCTGCAGGTTCTGCCACCAAAAGAAGCAGAGGCGAGTGGGGCAGGGGCAGGACCAAGAGGCGGGGCTGAGGCCTCAGCAAGGATAGAGCCAGGATTCCTGCTGGCAGCGCTCATGGGGTGTGTGGCCAGGGTAGGCCAAGTTCCATGTACCAGGGACAAATTGACTGACCTGGGCACCTGGATCTGGGTAGAGAAGGTGTCAGGGCTGTCTTAACCTCTCTGACAGGCCACACCGGGGTCTGAAGCAGATATTGCAGCCGACCTTGAGAACACCTGGCAGTGCTGACGATTCTGAGATGAATGACACTTTTGTCCTTACCCGAGACAATCAGAGCCACTCAAGCCAGTAGCATGGCTAGGACACATCTCTGCACACAAGCAACTGGGATTGCTTTCAGTTTGGTGTGGGTGGGTGTACACGTGTGCATGAGGTGTGTGCATGTGTGCATAGGCATGTGCATCAGGGTGTGTGGCCTTGAGACATGTTTTAGAATCTCAATAGCAGAAGTTGATGAGAGGTGGGTGTTTGAAAAAGAACTAAAATGTATAATTAATTTTGTATTTGGAAAGTGGAAAAAAGTAGCCATTGTTCTCATGATAAAACTAGAGAAGGAAAGCTCTATGAAACACTTGGTGCTGGTGGAAGGCCTTGGTGATCGACATCCTGCCATTTGTTTTGCTGGATATTTCTGACCCCTCCTGGCCGGGCACCTGATAGTACTGCACTCCTGAGCCCCAGTGGCTGGGGGCCATGTGACCAGTCAGAGTTGAGACCCATCACTTCCAGGCTGAAGCATTTAATTCTCAGGACCTCTTGTCTGTGAATAGATGGTCCATGTAGTCCCTGAGGCCTTGGACTTCCCTAGGGTTGGAGGCAGGAGGGGGTGGTCATGTTCTCCTGTCTAGATGGGATTCACAGTTAAGTATTCTTCCCTATTAGAGTCTCTGGTTCAGGAAATCAGAGCTGTTGCTGTGTGTCCATTTATGCATCTATCTGTGAAAAGGGCAAACAAATGCAAACTGACTTGTTTAAAAGTCAACAGTGAGGTTGGACTCATGAGTGGACCTGCTGCTTCTCAGCTGATGGAGGGGCGTTAGCTGGGGCTCATGTGTTTTGGGGATGATGCTACAGGCAACATATTGAGGGGCAAGGGATTTGCTCTGGACAGTGAGATAGTACCCCACAGTGCTTCTACCCTCTGCACCCAGCACCAAGGACCACAGCTGCTGGGACCCTTTTGTGTCCTGGCTTCATCCCACATGAGTTTCCCACCGGTGGAAACAGATCAAGGGGTCTGGGACCACACTGCTCAAATCTGAAACCCATTTCCAACACTTTCTAGGGAAGCGTTACAGGCAAGTCAGGTCCATTCCCTCTGCCTCCATCGCCCGATCCTCAGCTTCTGCACAAGGCAACCTCCAGGGTGGGGGTCACACCTGTGGAAATCACAGACATGGCAGTGACCTGTGCTCAGTAAACACTGGCCAGTGTAATCATTATTCTCCAAAAGGTTCATTTAGGTTTGGAAGTATTTTAGCAAAGAGAGATAAAATGTGTTGGATGTGAGTTCCAGTTAAACAAAACAGTCTCTGCTAACAGTGTGTTCCCTGAATACAGTTTGCATAGTTTTTGGATGCATGCCACCTAAATATGTGGGCTTTTTAAAGTGTGCTTTCACATTTAAACAATTCTAATCACTCTTTCCGAGGCATCAACTAAACTTAATTGTTTTTAATATAGTGTTAATTAAGTTAATGATTTTAAATGCCAAAAATATTTCTAAAGGGATTACTCCAAGAGGGCAGATTATTTATGTTGCTTTCTAGGGAATTCAGCTCTGCAGTGAGCAGCTTAGAATTTATTTTAAACAGTATAGACAGATCAGTTATGTGTCCAGACATTGAATTCAACTTTAAGAACTGTCAGGTCATTAAAATGCTTTAAATAGGAAATCAATGCAAGCCCGTGCTTTCTTTTGTGATTGTTAGTTCCGCTGTTTTGTCATTGCTCTTTTGTGGAGCAGCCCTGTTCCGTGCATCCCTGTGCCCATGGTCTTTTAACATTGTACTTGCAGATGCTGGGGCTTCAGGACCAAAGAGCCTCCTCTCTTGTTGTTTTAAATCAGGACAAAATTACGTAAAAGTAAATACAGCAATGACACCTAGACTATGCAAAGTGTATTTAGTGTTCTACTTTAATGCAAGTTTTACATCACAAAGTTTACATGGTTTGTATCATGAGCATTTATTAAGACCAAATTTCTACATGACAAGGTACACCAGTGGCTTTACGTGGTGACTTTTGCTCTCATTTTCTCCTCCCGTGTCTCTGCACAGACATGCCCCAGCCTCCCAACAAAGACCTTTTCATCTTGCCTGATGAGTACAAGTCTTGCTTCCGGCATAAGCGCTCTCTTCTGAAGTCCCATAGAAATGAAGAACTGAATGTGGAGACGTTGGTGGTGGTTGACAAAAAGATGATGCAAAACCACGGCCATGAAAACATCACCACCTACGTACTGACGATACTGAACATGGTAGGACCAGCCTTCTTGTTGAGGCCGCCTGTGTCGTTCCATTTAATAGTGTGTGTGTGTTTCACATGCTACTTCCCACTTGTGGAGTTATGTCTTACACATAAGAAATATGTTATTGGGGATAACTCTTGGTTTTACTCACTCTATCCCAATCAAAAGAGCCATTTTCAGAACTTCAGAGAATAAAATAAGGAGAAAAAATTATTTGGCCCTGTCCATGTCCCTTTAAGCCTGTGGGATGTTTTGGGTTTACTGATGTCTTCATTTACAAGAAATCCCTAAGAAGACGCTGAGACATTTAATGCAGTAAATCTGTTCGTCAGCATTATGCGTGTGATTGTAGATGGCTATATAGAAATCCCTATCTTTTTAGGAATACTCATGCTCAAATGTTGAATGTAAATCATATTTGTCTACAAGAACAGAAAAGCAGTACAACCTTCTAGAATATAATCTTAGGTAAAATGTGTCTCTGTCTCGAATTGACAGCTGTAGTAAGTATTGAAGAATGAGCCCCGCTCCACGAAATTACAATCTAGGTGACAAGGACAAAATCTTGGGTCACCAAAGTATGTTTTAAAAATAGTGTTAATGACAATATTTTAAAAGCATGTTTTATATTCCTTTGCTTCAATAAACAGAGCCCCGCAAATGTGTCTGTCTCTTTATGCTGCTGCATGGTTATCACTGCGAGCGTCATTTTGGGAGACTGAACCGCCTGGTTCATGACCTCCCAGGGAACCAAGGGAAACAGTGCAGTAAGCCCTGCCCGCTGCGTGGGGTTGAGGACCTCAGGGCCCAGCTGCTCTGACTGTGGAAGTGTTGGCGTCTGTTCTGCAGGACTTCCCAACATTGCTACACCTCGGACCAGCTCCTTGTGTCACCCGTGGTTGTCACACTGCCCCTGCTCGTCACCCTGAAAGCCACTCCGTCTCCTCTAATGCCTGCATCCCCCTTTCATCTCCTCACTACATTCTTTCCTTCTGTTTGTTGTATCTTCCTGGTCTTGCCCCAGGCATTGCTCTTGGGCTTCTAGAATTCCTTGCCAGGAGAGCTTAGGAGTACTTGGCTTATGTAGTCATTGCTATGAGTAAAAAAAAAAAAAAAAAAAAAAATCCCTCCGTATTCTAAAGGAGACATTGATCAACCCAGAGGACTCCTAATCCTTTCATTGGTGTTTGGTGATAAGAAGTGGACCCCCCTCACCCCAAATTTGAGCTTTTTACTTCCAGACACCAATGGTAAGGGTTCAGCAATTGGTAGTTGGATTTGTCTCTGCCTCTCTAGCAATATAAGAGAATTAACTTTGCTCTGTCCCTGGGGAACAAGGGGGTCGGCCTTCAGCAGCAGGACGCCAGGCCCACTAGCAGGCTGGGGGAAAATGTTGCCACGTATGGGGGCTGATGCGAATTATCAATTTCCTGTCTTTTTCAGGTGTCGGCCTTGTTCAAAGATGGAACAATAGGAGGCAACATCAACATTGCAATTGTAGGTCTGATTCTTCTAGAAGATGAACAGGTATTCTATCTTTGAAATCAGCAGCTTTTTATCCCAGAAAAATAAATGCATTCTTTTCTTTAATATAATCATTCTGTGGCTTCTTTCCTTCTCTTTTTCTTGGGGACAAAATTGTTTAATACTTTGTGTCTAGCGCAGTAACTTTCTTTTCAGTTCATTCTACTTTGTATGTGTGTGCATGTCTTTTGTGCAGGGTAGTAAAGAATACTCTTTTAATTGGCTTTTGAGAAAATGCAATACAAGAGTTGCCCTATTTCAGGGGGGAGCACACTAGGAATACAGATTACACAGTGTGTCTTCAGCCACTGTGAGCTGAGCTTATAGGATACCAGTTGGAATTGATCCTTGCTTGGTTTGTGCTGGAAGATTAGACACGTGTTGCCGCGCAGAAGTGAAGTGGTGCTTGCAACGCTGCGTTGCGTTACTCTACTGCTTCCTGGCTCCTAAGGCTGGTCACACTAACCCTCAGTACCTTCAGTCTTTGGCTGTAATTTTCATAGAGATTCTGGAATGTCAAGGGCATTGCTCTCTTTGTATACAAAAACTTACATTGTGCGGGATCTTGGTAGCTATGGGTGAAAGAATCTCTTTTGCCCCCAGCAGACCCTGGTACATGCATCGAGCTTCACAGTTCACAGGAAGATGCTTATGAAGATTTCACATATCAGCAGTGGGGGTATTTGAGCCACAGAAGCTTCTCACTTCCATTTAGCTCCAACCCGATCACTGGCTCAGCAAAGGAAGGCAGGCCCTGGACCCAAGACAGGCACCCAGACTTCAGTCCTACCCTGGCTGACACTCTAAGTCTCCTGGTAGCTGTAGTGCTCTTGTTTATAAAACAAAGATATTTTTGGATGATCTCTGAGATGATTCATAAGATCTAAGATACCTTCAGATGTTAAAGTTCTGGAAGGCGGGCTTAGTGGCAGGCAGCTATTTCCAGCCTGACTAGTCAAGTAAGATACAACTTCATTGTCTTTTGTGTAAGAGTGTGGATGGGGAGGGGGTTAGTGAACTAGTAGGGCTTCTCAGGTGACAGGTTAATTATTCCTGTATTAAAACGTTTTCACCTTGGAATTCATCCAAGCTGCAAAGAATAAGCGAGGTTATCGTTTGATCGTACACCTGTGTTAACTCTAATTAATGCAGTTTTCCTGGAAGTCACCAGCTGAAGAATGTCAGGCATGCCCCAGTGTGTATGTATAGCATTTAGCTTAGGTGAATTTCAGTCCCTGGAAAAACAAAATAAACGTTTTAGGAGAAAACATCTTCAGTGAGTGAGAGACAAAAATTTTAATGCAACACTCTTAAGAGTGAAAGCTTTAAACACGATGGTGACCTGAAATCAGGTATTTAACCTGGTTTTCTCTGACCACCCATAGGAAAATAGAGCATACCATGAGTTTTAAATAATTTGGTGTATCCTGCTCTAATGCATGTTCCACTACTCTCCCTGAAATCAGGTATTTAACCTGGTTTTCTCTGACCACCCATAGGAAAATAGAGCATACCATAAGTTTTAAATAATTTGGTATATCCTGCTCTAATGCATGTTCCACTACTCTTCAAATTTCTCAGTTCCCAAGAGTTCTGATGTTACTCACTCTGATATTTTACCGTCGCTCCATCAGAACTTAGTATATGAGTTTGTTTATGAGTAGGTGGAATGTCTTTTATATAGTTTCCTTCTAGTTGAAGTTTATTTTCTAGAAATAAAAGTTTCCCAATTGACCTACCTTTCCTCATAAACATGCTGCCCCTATAGGAAAGTTACTTAATTTAACACTGTAATAATAAGTATTTAAAGAGTTATGAATTGGAAATCCCACTTGCCCAACTTGGGTATGAAATGAACATTTGACTGTCCAGGTGTGTTCTTGTGTACGTATGTGCAAAGCCATGTATAAATGATTCTGTTGCCTTATATAATTTTCCAAAGTATTTTTCAAAGATTTTGAATGCACAAAATTCATGCACAGAAGTAATCTTTCTTGGGTCACTGAGCAAGCATTCAGGATTAGCCGGATACACCCAGCTGCTTATGTTTGGAACTAGAGAAAGGTGCATAAGTGTCTGCACTGAATCCGCACAGGTTTTATGGAATACGCTCTCCTTTGGATTTCAATGCATAAAATGGAGGTATTGGCTCATGTGCCATTCAGATCCATCTATGTATGCGAAATCCAAGTTAGCGATAGTTTTCTGTGATGACAATGCATTAGAGCATGTTTTCTCTCCATGATCGCGGGGCTCTTGGTCTCTCTCAATAGCCAGGGCTGGTGATCAGTCACCATGCAGACCGCACCTTGAGTAGCTTCTGCCAGTGGCAGTCTGGATTGATGGGGAAAGATGGAACACGCCATGACCATGCCATCTTACTGACCGGTCTGGACATATGTTCCTGGAAGAATGAGCCCTGTGATACTTTGGGTAAGACCCTCCAGCAGAGTTCTGAGGACCGCATGTGGGGTGTGCACCTTCAGTGGGTGGTGTAAGGTATTGAGTATTTTTGCCCTTGTTCTATACTCATGAGCAGTAGCTGCTGCTGAGTACGGTTGTAAAGAACATACTCATGTCCTTGTGTAAACTTTGGCTAAATGTAAAATATGACAAAGTTTATACAGAGACACAAGAAATGCTCATCATGACAAGTGCAAGTCACTAAACCTGGGGGTGGTCTTGGAGACTTCTCAGCACACCCATTCTGTACAGGACTTTTTCACTTGGGCTTTTGAGAACTCAGATGTTTATAGAAAAAGGCAGAAATTCTCTTTTATCTGCAGTAAATCCCCTCTTCTGTAACAGGAGCATGACATAGAACCATGAATTGTTTTCCATGAATTGAGACACAAAGTCTTTGGGCTCCTGGGAATAGATCCCCTTTGCCCACATTATTAAATGCCCTGAATATGGTTGTCCAAGAATTTCCCATTTTAGGTTTCTCCAAATGAGAACAAAATTTGCAAAGGACAAAAAATAAATATCCACCTCTTTATTTTATTACAACACTGCTATATATTCTTTTGATCTTTACGCTCCACAGGATTTGCGCCCATAAGTGGAATGTGCAGTAAATATCGCAGCTGTACGATTAATGAAGATACAGGTCTTGGACTGGCCTTCACTATTGCCCATGAGTCTGGACACAAGTGAGTGCATCTCCATGGGAGGGTGGAGCCCGGGATCCTTTTCTACTGGATGATTACCATAGAAAAACTGATTCACTAATATAAGTCTGAGAAGGGAATTCACATATACCCAACAAGAATATCATTGACACTTACAAAATGCTGTCACTTTGGCACATTTGCTTTTATTTTAGAGCCCCATCACGCACATTTTAAAGCTACAGCAATGCACATTTCCACTTCCCTCACTGTTTTCTCTCACGCTCCTGTTCACACGCGTGCCTAAGATTGAGGACAGTGGTTTCCTACTCTATCCCGCTGTCCTGTGGTTTGAACTTGGTCCTGAGGACTAATCTCATTCCACAGTTAGCTCTATGGGGGCTCCAAATGACTGACAGTAACAAGCCCTCCCACTGATGACCCTTGTTACTCTTGAGTTTGTGTTCTTATGTATATTTTGCATAATTTGTTGAGATGTTTTTTGATTGGCATACTAAGCAGAGGTTGGGGAATGTGGGTACTGACAAGAGATTGGACTGTCAGGGATGTTTTGCTTCCCTTTTTCTACCCCTGGCTTCAGCATTGTCGGTTTTGAAATGAGGTGGCACGGGGGAGCTCCGTGAGTACAGGGGGACTCAATTCCTGGGCAGGCCGCTCTCACAGCAGGTGGCGTGCCACCCGCTTTCTCTCTTTATGTGCAAAGCTTACATGTATATGTGTAGAATGAAACATTACTAGCAATTACTTATGGAAACTATTAGTCTAAGGTAAGATTTCTTTAGCTAATAATTATGTAAGCTGCCTTACCTGAGGCATCATCTATTGAAAAAAAAAAGAAAGAAACTTAAGGCCACACTTGCTGCTCACGAAGCTGCAGACTTCCGGCAGTTGTCCTGACTAATCTGAGGACCAGTGGTAGTAATGCAAGTGTTTTCCTGCCAGACTGAAACTGTACTTTTCTCCTAGAAAACGTACTACCAGGAATTATAATTTTTCTGTCATTTTTTACTTGCAGCCTGGTTTTACTGGCAAAGGAATGCAAAGACAGTGTTTGCTATCCGTGTTTTTTCAAAGCTGACTTCTCTGTCCACTATTGGAATACGACTGAGGTCACAGACTCATGTCACCTAGACCTGCTCAAAGCATCAGTGTGTGCATCTGTGTGTGTATGGGGGGGTGAGGTGGGGGTTTACATGTATGTGCCTGTGTTTAATGGAATCTCATGGGGGCCCTGCAGACATTGGCTATGTGTGAACTG